CACGGCGGCGGCGGCGGCGGCGGCGGCGTTAGCAGCGGCAGTAGCAGCCGTAGCAGCAGCAGCCCCGAGATCGCTAAGGAATGCGGCGGCTCCGCATAACCACGGGGTCAGGGGTCACGGCTTCGGCCTCTGCTTTCCCGCTCTGCTGAGGAACCTAGACAGGACTGGAGGCAGGGCGGAACGGCGAGACGCGGCTTTCCCTCCGGCGCTTGGGTGCGTGCGTGTCTGTCGTGGGTGTGTGTGAGTGTGTGTGTGAAGAGTGAGGAGGGGGAGTGTGGGTTTTTTTTTTTTTTGAACAAAAACAAATCGAAAGGGCGACTGGGAATCGTAGTCCCGGCTGCCTCCCTGGCCTCTTCCGCTCCGGAAGAATATGGCTGCGTGAAGCGATTGGACCACACTTCCCGGCGTGCCCTGGGGCCATCTTTTCCGCCCTCCTTCCATTCTCTGCTTCGCTCAGAGCTTGGTAAGAAAAGGAGTGGGCAGACGTTCGGGGAAAGGACTGGGCGGTGTCTCGCGAGGTGCGGGAACTGGTTGAGGCCCGCGGGATTATGGGAAGTTTGCTGGGAAGGGGCGGTGGCTGCCCTGCCGCCCCGTTTAACCCCTTCTAAACTTCTAGTCTGGACCTCTGGTCTGGTGAAGATGGGGATTGGGAAGTGGTGGGTCCGCTCCCCGTTCCCAATTTGTGACTCTGCCCACCTACACCTCTTATAGGTGATGAGGGGCAGGACTTTCCCTTTGGGTCTACCCCTAAATGAGTCAGTGCCGTATAATAATGAGACAAAAAGACACTCATACCAATAAAACGGTTTTTCCGCGATTGACGGATCTAGACGGTTCCCCGTTTCCCCCTATGCTTTCACGCCCCTGTGATAGTTGTAGAGGCTGCACCTGCAGTGTACAGTTTTTACCAATTGGTGAACTTGGTGATAGGATGGAAGGTAAAGAACTTGGGGTCATATTGACACTAATACACCTGACAATATTTTAGAGGCAGTATCCTGGAGAGAGCTCAGGCTTAGAGTCAAATGAAACTAGACCGAAATCCTGGTGCTCCACTCAATCTCCCAGAGCCTGTTTTCTGATCTATACTGGGCTAATGTCTCAAAGAATTATTAGGATCAAAATTAACATAAAACGTCTGGTAGAGCGAAAGACTGAAGGAGAACCTTGACATTATTAGATATATAATTTGGTCCCTGGTATAGAGCACATGTTTAATAAGTGGTAGCTGTTACCAGCTAACAATGGACAGTGTACTTCGTTTCTCTGAGCCTTGGTTACAGAACATTAAATGAAATGAGATTTGAAGTACGCAGCACATTAAAGGTTTGCTATGTGTAGTTGTTGAACCAGTGTTCAGAAACATTTCTAAAATCAGTGCTGAGCTGAACTGATAGCCAGCTCTTCAAAACTGTAAAGCAGGATGAGTGGAAAGGTTTCCATGGATAAGAAAATACAGCTGGGGGAGGGGGATTTAGCTCAGAGGTTCCGCCACCTGCTTTGTAAGTGCAAGGTCCCAAGTTTGTTTCCCGTACCAAGAAAAAAGAAAACACAGCCTACCCTACATTCCCTGATTGTTAGAACACAGGAGTGAACCAGGACTAAAAAACCTTATCTTACCGCCCAACACCTAACACAAAAGCGTTCGGTGATCCTGCTTCTAGTACTGTTCACACAAGACTGTCACATCCAGGAAACAAAGTCCCACAGAATGTACAGGTTGCAGAAGGTGAAGTCACATTTTAAAATTCCTTCTCTTCTAATTTCATCCCAACAGGAAGAAGAGGAACAACCTCCCCATTGACCTGGTTGTGTACTTTTTTTTCCCAGTCTACAGCTGACACAGTAACCTTTGACATGGCATATGGCTTATTTCAAATGTCTTTTTGAACAGCTTCAAACCACCACCTGTAAAGAGTAACTAGAGAAGATTCACGATAATGTATATGTTTAGTACATGCACTATGGTAAGCAGAATACTGATTTCTCTGCTCACCTCAGATTGTCCAAGCTTTAGTTTCCCTACAATAGTAGTGGCAGACTTACTGAATGCATGCTTCAACAGGCTGTATGTATCATTGGAAGCTCTAAAAGATTCTCCATCACTTCCCTAGAGCCTGCGAACATGTTACATTTAATGGCAAAGGAATTTTACAGATGGAATTTAGGACTTTAAGTAGGCAGATTTATCCTAGATTTATCTGGGTGCGCCCAGTATAATCACATGGGCACTTAAAAGCAGAAGAAGGAAAAGGCATTTCAGAGAGATAAAGCAGAATTAGATTCAAAGTTTGAAAGAGAATGGATTCACTGTTTCTGGCTTTGAAAGTGGCCCCAAGCCAGGCACGTAAACGAGCTCCTAGAATCAGAAAAATCCCTACCAACAGCCAGCAAGAAAAGAATTTCAGTCCTATAACCTCATGGAACTGAATTCTGACAACTCAGTTGAGTTTGGAAGCAGAGTCTCTAGAAAGAATACAGACATCATAATCCCACCCTTAGACTTGAAGCAGAGAACCAGTTGAGCCATGCTGCATCTGAGTTTCTGGGCCATAATATAAGATATAAATGAATGTTGTTTTAAGCCATTAAATGTGTGGTAACTTTTTACAGCAGGAAAGACAGCTAATATTAGGCACTGTGGAAACACCTTCATTTCTTTCAGCAAACACTGCCTGGCTCTCAAAGTTGGGTCAGGCCATAGAGGAATCCAGATGTGAATATATCTGCCTTTGCAGAATCAAACTAATTACAACATCAAATCAATCATGAAAAGAATATATTCAGAGGATGTAAGAGATAATTTGTTAAAGGGCCAGGGATTTAGCAGCTCAGTGGTTCCATCACCTGCCTCACAAGCACAAGGACCTGAGTTTGATCCCCAGTATCAAAAAAGAAAAAAAAATGTTAAAAAGTCGGCTTTAGTCATTAAACCTAAAGTAGTGGTGATTTGAGACAGGGTCTCACTATGTAGTTGAGGAACCCACTATGTAGCCCAGGTTGGTCTCAAACTGACAGTGATTTGCCTGCCTCAGCTTCCCGTGTGCCACCATGCCTGGCTTTTTTTTTTTTTTTTTTTTTTAATAATGAAACTCCTGAGTTTATTTTCTTTTTTGGTACCAGGGATCAAACTTGGGACCTTGCGCTTGTGAGGCAGGCAGCGGCATCACTGAGCTAAATCCTCAGCCTGAGTTTATTTTCTTGATAGAAGCACCAAAGCACAAACCTATGCATTTTTTGGTGTTGGGTTTTTTTTTTTAATTATAGTCATTTTTTACTATAAATTGTCTGTGTACATCAACACAGGTGCCATGGGCATTGTAAGATAAACAGGACTGACATTCAACCCTACCTAGTGCAAGGGATGAGTCACTCTTTTCAAACTTAGGAGCAAATAACAAAACTAGTAGACACCCAGGAATTCCCAAGACAAGTACACCCCCGAACCTCAGGTAAGGTATGAAATCACTCGCTTGAGTCAGTGCCATCATTTGGACAACAGAGTACATAGCGAATTCAGAAGATGAGCTGGGCATGGTGGTGTGCATCTATGGTCCTACCTATTTAGAAAGCTAAAGCAGGAAGTTCCCCTGAACCCAGGAGTTCAAGACCAAACTGGGCAATATGAGACTTATCTCTTCTTTAAAAAAATAAAAGTAAAGCCAGGCGTGGTGGCGCACACCTGTAATCCCAGCTCTTGGGAGGATGAGGCAGGAGAATCACTGTGAGTTCGAGACCAGCCTGGGCTACATAGTTCCAGGTCAGTCTCAACTACATAATGAGATCCTGTCTCAAAAAAACAAAAAACAATAATAATGATCATATTTGCTGCACTTCCAGCAAAGCAGATTAGCAAATGTGTAAACTCCTGGTTCCTCTCACATTTCATTTGTTTATATGATGTTTGATTTATAATTGTGCTTGTGTGAGCATATACTTGGGTTCATTATCCTATCCCCAAATTGACCACAGTCATTGGCACATGGCAGGTGCCCAAACTGTGGAATGAATGATGCTATCTTAATACTTCATTACAGGAAATCTGTGAGGAATAAAAATTTTCTACTGAATGATTCCTAAACAGTATTCGCAACCTACTCCGACTGAAGTGGGCAAGATTGAGATACGATTTCACCTAAACAGATTGATACAAGTTGTAAAGATG